CATCTTTTAAATGTCAACATAAGATCATTTTCATCAGAGGATATTAAAGTTTCATACAATTAATTACATTTTCCGTCTATGTATAACTCTTTCAGTATTTATATACAAAACGATTCTTATTATTAATTTATGATTTCATTTAAACATTATTAGTATACAGAAAAAACAACAAATAAATAATAAAAAGAAACAGAAAAAAGAGAAAAAGAAATTGACAAAAGTAAAATTATCCCATATTCTATACCGTCAGCTTATTCGCCAGCAGTTTAGAACCGTCCACCAGAAGGCGAGAGTCGACAATGCGACAACGCGATGACGAGAGTGCGACAGTGCGATGACGAGAGTGCGACAATGCGATGACGACAGTACGACAATGCGACAGTGCGATGACGACAATGCGACACTATCGCTCTGTCGTCATCGTACTATCGAGTTATCGCACTCTCGTCATCGCATTGTCGCACTCTCGCCATCGCATTGTCGCTATCTCGCCATCGCACTGTCGCACTCTCGCATTGTCGCACTCTCGTCATCGCACTGTCGCACTCTCGTCATCGCATTGTCGCACTCTCGTCATCGCACTGTCGCACTCTCGTCATCGCATTGTCGCACTCTCGCATTGTCGCCCTCTGTATGTTAACGTATAACCACGATGGCCCTAACGGTATTCCGTAGTTTCTATTTGGTGTCAAGTTATTTTTTACTTACTGAAAGAAAACCCTTGTTAAAGAAATTAAGGAGAGTGTTTATTGGCAAATTTATCGTAGATCGTAATATTCAAATCACTTTATTTAAAATTAATAAGAAAGTATATAGATAAATAGATAAGTAAAATATCACTTGAATTATTTATAAATAAAATGTTATGAAAAAAATAATTAATCAATTAATAAATGAACCAATTTAAAAAAAATTAATTATATCATTTATTCGTACATTTATTCATTTTTTCGTTGAACTTTTTTAGCTGATTAACACGTACACATATACGAGAAATTTTGGAGAATGTGTAATTACGGATGACAAGCCGGAAAGGCTTATAATTCTGAAATCACCATATACATAAGACAAAAATTGATAATATGAGCCGCGTCACGACAAAACCAACATAATGGGTTTGCGACCAGCATGGATCCTGCTAAAAAAGCATGGATCCAGACCACCCTGCGCAGCCGCGAAGTCTGATCAGGATCCATGCTGTTCGCTTACCAACCCTATTACATGTAAAGAAACTGATAGCGAACAGCATAGATCCTGATCAGACTGCGCGGATGCGCAGGCTGGTCTGGATCCATGCTGGTCGCAAATTACTATGTTGGTTTTGTCGTGACACGGCTCATATGTTAAACATATGTTAAACATAACTGCTTGATGTGCAATGTACTTGTAATTGATTACGTCATAAATATACATGAAGGTACATATTGATAAGGCGTTTCAATTATGACAGATATTTGTAACTGGAGACACAGGCAAATTTTTCATTTCGTTTTGATTTTTTTCATTCATTATTCTTTAAATGTCCTCAAAATAAATACACCTGGCAGACACAGGAACAAAACTTATCTCCTTATAAAGTTCCTATCTTGACCCACGTGGGTAAGGTTAGGGCGTTAAGATTTCACAATAGTTGTCAAAGTGAACTCTGGAAACGTTAAAGAATATGTCAAATAAATGACATAGACTTGTTTCAATCATACAATATCCACAATATATGTTATTTAACTTCCAGGGTTTGTTCAAGTCACATTATTTGTTTTAAAACTACTCGGCGTCTAAACTTCGTTTAACATCTAAAGATATATTTACGATTTAAAATCCAAAATATATTGAATTTGTATGGGACTATAAAAATGTTATTCTAGCGTGATTTGAGTACATAAGATCATTTGTGATTAATTTGCCTGAGTATCGCTTTAACATGTTTAATGCACTCGTACTATGTACAGTAATATATTGATAACATGTTTAAATTAAACACTGATTAACAGGTATCGATAATGTATTTTTTATATTGATTATAGGTTAAATGTACTTTATACACGAAGTTAGATGTTGCAATTTTTTTAATGTCCTATAAGCATAACAGCAGATAATACGTACATTAACCCATTACGCCATATACACGCCTTTTAACGCCCTTTTCACCCCCCCCCCCCTTTGTTGTCTCAAATGGTGAAAAAATGCCTTATTTAGGCCCCCAACACTTGTTTTGGTTTGAGAAATGTTGTTAAAAACAGTGACCACTTTTTCGGCGCGCCCCCCAACCAAAAGATACATCAGGGGGTTGCCAGAAGGGGATGTGCCCCCTTCTGTTTGGGGGATTTGAAGGGGACCGGAGTCCCCCTCATCGCCAAGAAAATTTTGGACTTGTGAGAGGCTATAAATGACCCAAGATTGATCATAAGGTAATGTGTAACCAACGCTGAAAAGCATTTCACTCTATCTCAGTCAGCACTTTGAATTCAAATTTGATGGAAAAAAATCAACGTAAAATAGTGATTTTTGGCAATTTTGAGATGTCCCCTCGTTGCCATGGTAACAGAAAATTTAAGCCTGGGCATGTTGTTTCAAGGGCAATGGTCCAGTCAACTTTGATAAGTGTTGAAGCAGTTTTTATAGTATTATAGCAATTTGAACTTGTAACGGGAGACTTTTCAATGTAAACAGCCATTTTTCACAAAATGCTCATGAAGTAATGGGTTAAAAAGCAGATATTGTTAACGTGTTAAATTTCCTATGTTCATTGAGACAATTATTATTAACGTGTTAATTGTATTATGTTCATTTAGGCAGACATTGTTAAATGTACTATGTTCATAAGGGCAAATATTGTGAACGTGTTAAATGTACTGTGGTTATTAAGGCACATATTGTGAACGTGTTAAAGGGATACTCAGGCATTAATCACAAAAATATTAAAATGATCTTTTGTACTCAAATCACGTTAAAGTAACATTGTTTTATACTTCCATATATATTTTTGGTTTTAAATCGTAAATATATCTATATAAAACGAAATTTAGACGCCGACAGAACCACCGAGTAATTTTAAAACAAATAATGTGACCTGAACAAACCCTGGAAGTTAATAAAATCATATTTTGTGGATATTGTATGAATGAAACAAGTCTAAGTCTTTTATTTTACATATTCTTTAACGTTCACTGTGACAACTATTGTTAAATCTTAACGATCTAACCTGACCAACGTGGGTCAAGTTAGGAAATCACCATTTTATTCTAAAAAGAGCGAAAAGTTTTGTTTCTGTAACTGTCCATTTTGAGGATACTTACAGAATAATGAATAAAACAATCAAAAAGAAGAAATGAAAAATCTGCCTTTGTCTCCCTTTAAATGTACTATGTTCATTCAGGCAGATGTTGTGAAGGTGTTAAATGTACTATGTTTATTAAGGCAGATATTTGTGAACGTGTTAAATGTACTATGTTCATTACGGCAGATATTATTAATATGTTAAATGTACTGCGTTTGGTAGGGCAGATATTGTAAACATTTTTCACTACGTCAGATATTATGTTGAATATGAAGACAGAAATGATGTGCATAATAAACATGTTGATATTATTGCAAATAAAATAATTGTTTATAAAGCAATTGATTCTAAGAAATATTTTAAACTAAATGTTCAAAATTCGAACTACGTGTTCAATTGTTTATTGTTTAGTATGTGGCTGTACTTCATTAAAATCAATGTAGACATTTTCATGCTTAAATACACTGCAAAGAAGTTTTATTGTGTATGTTTAATTATAAATTGTAACATAAAGAAAAAGGTTTTGGTGTGCAAGAAGACTTGTAATAGCGATATTGATACCGACTTAAGATATGAGCCGCGTCATGACAAAACCAACATAGTGCGTTTGCGACCAGCATGGATCAAGACCAGCCTGCGCATCCGCGCAGTCTGATCAGGATCCTACGGAATGCCGTTAGGGCCATCGCCTATGAATGTGTTGATCTAAAACGCGATAGTCGATAGTACGATGGTGAAAACGCGAAATCACGAAACTACGATGGTGAAAACGCGAAAGCACGATGATGAAAACGCGATAGTACGATGATGAAAACGCGACAGTACGATACTACAATGATGAAAACGCGATAAACTATCGTGTTTTCACCATCGCACTGTCGCGTTTTCACCATCGTAGTTTCGTGATTTCGCGTTTTCATCATCGCACTGTCGAGTATCGCGTTTCAGATCAAACCATTCATAGGCGATGGCCCTAACGGCATTCCGGAATGCCGTTAGGGCCATCGCCTATGAATGTGTTAATCTGAAACGCGATAGTCGATAGTACGATGGTGAAAACACGAAATCACGAAACTACGATGGTGAAAACGCGATAGTACGATGATGAAAACGCGATAGTACGATGATGAAAACGCGATAGTACGATGATGAAAACACGACAGTACGATGGTGAAAACGCGATACTACGATGATGAAAACACGACAGTACGATGATGAAAACGCGATAGTACGATGATGAAAACGCGATAGTACGATGGTAAAAACGCGATAGTACGATGATGAAAACACGACAGTACGATGATGAAAACGCGAAATCACGAAACTACGATGGTGAAAACGCGACAGTACGATGGTGAAAACACGATTGTTTATCGCGTTTTCATCATCGTAGTATCGTACTGTCGCGTTTTCATCATCGTACTTTCGCGTTTTCATCATCGTGCTTTCGCGTTTTCACCATCGTAGTTTCGTGATTTCGCGTTTTCACCATCGTACTATCGACTATCGCGTTTCAGATCAACACATTCATAGGCAATGGCCCTAACGGCATTCCGTAGGATCCATACTGTTCGCTTACCAACTCTATCGCAAGTAGAGAAACTGATAGCGAACAGCATGTATCCTGATCAGACTGCGCGGATGCGCAGGCTGGTCTGGATCCATGCTGGTCGCAAACACTCTATGTTGGTTTTGTCGTGACATGCCTCATATATGTTTTCAGAAAGTGTAGATGAGGGTCGTTCAAGAAAGTCGTTGGCCAAGAAGGTGAACGACAAATATCAAAGGGCTTGTAAAGTTGCAAAGAAATATCCATTAAAATGTATTGTTGACCAATTTGAAAATTCAACCTTTGACCTTACTGGGAAGAAAATAGGCCATGAACATATGAAACTTGCTGCCATAGCGCTTTTAGTAAGTAAAATATATAACTAAATACAATTAATAAATATAATTAAATGAGAAAACAATACATATAAGTAATTCTTTAAATCTATAAAGGCTGTTTTCATCTTTTAAAGCAAACATATAAAGAAATAACACGTGTATTATTGTCTCTGATCTTAAACCGTTTAACTGATTTTAAATGATGATGATGATGATGATGATGTTGCTGCTGATGATGATGATATAAGTCAAGGTAAAGCGCTTGCGCATGCGTAACGCTTAATTCTTTTAACTATACTTACAAAACTAAATTTAAATGGCAAAAAGTGCTCTTAATCTTAATTATTCTATTTTACATTTTGTAGAGAAATGAATATGTGAATGCATTGAAGTTGCGGGATAATAGTTTAGGAAACGAGGGAATATATCATGTAACAGATATGTTGACACAGAATATTTACATCACACGACTTGTAAGTATTTGAGCATATTATCATATTAATTTTTTTTTTTAAATCTCGTCTACATACAATGTTATGACAGATCATGAGAGCATGACAGTCCTCTGTTTATCCACCCGAAATGTATATCTGTTTAAATATAGAAAACAAATATTAAAGTCTAAACTGGAAAAGGTGATATTGAGATTATTGATAGAACAGGGGTAGGTCTATGCGTCTGTAGTGAATGTGTTCAGCCATTATATAGAAGAAATTGCACGGTGATCATTACGTAAAGTTATTGTATCTCAACAAAGCCAAGGGATGTACCGGATGCAGGACCCTGCATTAATAAACTCCTAAAAAGTCTTCTTGGATGCACAATTCTCAAGCTCTTGCAACCAAATGGATGCATAAAAATGTATACAGATGGCTTCATAAATCTTGTGTAACATTAGTAAACGTTAAAAACCCTTGCAGTTTATAATTCTGTGTTATAATATATATAGATATAATAAGTAAACATTTTTGTTTAGCAAAGTATTGACTAGTTCGAATTAGCTGTCTGTTGGACGTTTTGAATTATTGATTTGACCCAGACTATACATGACTGGACCCCGTTAATTACAGAACCTGCATCAGTTGCACCCATGCATGTTGACAGTGGTGTAAACCCCTGGAAGCCGCACCCTATTTGAGTCGCGTCACGACAAAACCAACGTAATGCGTTTGCGACCAGCATGGATCCAGACCAGCCTGCGCATTCGCGCAGTCTGATCAGGATCCATGCTGTTCGCTTACCAACTCAATTACAAGTAGAGAAACTGATAGCGAACAGCATGGATCCTGATCAGACTGCGCGGATGCGCAGGCTGGTCTGGATCCATGCTGGTCGCAAACGCATTATGTTGGTTTTGTCTTGACATGGCTCATTTTATTTTAAGATAAAAGTGACAATATCTGGTAGTTCATGCTACACGATTAATGTTTTAAGAATGTTGGGAATGGGCAATAGACTTATATGGTAACTATTTCAAATAATTATTTTTAGAACTTTGCAGAGAACAATATAGGCATCCCCGGGTTAAAGGCAATAGTACAGGCTGTTATGGACAATATTCTCATAGTAAGATTAGATGTCTCAGGTAAGAGAATCAATGAAATTTATAACTCATAAATGATGAGGTCAAAATGAAGTAATAATATGTGAAAAATGAAGTTAATTTTGGTTAAGTTGTAAATGTTATGTTGATATATTTAATTTATATTGTAAATGTTTAAGAGTTGTATTTGCAAACATGTTTTGAGCAAAGTTATAAAGTACTTTTCATATTACTGCACGTATACATATACAAAAGTGTTTTTCAGTGAATAAGCGTGACGTTGATATTATCTTTATACACGGATGTTTTCATTTTATGAAGAAATTTTCGATTTTCTCAAAAACGTTTAATATCTTGAAAAATTGACCCCTCGGAAGCATTAAAGCAACAAAATTGCATCAAAATTACAGACTCGGTTTGATTGAGTCTGTACATGAGCGATAATGTACAAGTGCAACATCCCTCACGCCCCCTAGCACCGGCTTGAGCGGTATTCAATTCTCAACGCTTAAAAGTGCTGGACTCAATGGTTTTAAAATGACCAGATAAATATAACAACACTGAAGTGAAGTACGGTGCAACTTTGTATCGACTGTCACACAGCACTTGACACAGTACTAAGTCTGCTGTATGATAAATTCGTTATAAAGCGGATCGGGTTATATAAGCATACAGCCGCTTATAAAGTAATCCATATATTCTGTCAGACATCTTTATAAGTAATACATTTTATGCAGACACAAACATGTCATTGTCAAGAAGTTGTACAAAAAGCCGCACATTTGGAAATACAGTTAAACTTCGTTCGCTCAAACTCCCATCGTTCGCATACCTCATTTCCGTCGAACTAATCGCCCAGTCCTGGCAAAATGTCTTTATAATAAATCTATTGTTCTACCTCGGATCGCTCAAAAACACCGATCGATCGAATCTCTGGAAATCCTTCAGACCTATATCCTACATAAAATATGATATAATTCGTGAGAAAGTATCAACTGCGGTTTTCTGGAACTACCAATCTCTCGAACAAATTTGCACTGGCCCTCCGAGTTCGAGCTGACTTAAGCATTTGTTTATTATTATTATTATTATTATTATTATTACATGTATTATTATTATTATTATTATTATTATGCATAATTACCTATTCATACACAATCTGATTGTGTTGATTAATACATTTTAGGAAATGAAATCACAGATGAGGGTGCTAAGTGCCTTGCTGAATTAATAGAGGTATGTTTCGTTATGTCGGGCAGGAAAGAATGCTGTTGCTTTTGTGATAAGTATTTCCTGTAATTTCTAAGTCTATAGTTTTGCACATTCCGATCAAGTGTAAATAATCTGTAAGAACATGCATATTCATACATTTTTATGTCGTTGCTTGTGTATTTAACAGTGTAAGTATAGCTTATTTTCGTGTCATATATCGTCGAACTTGTTCGTTTATTTCAGAATTATATTACTGACTTTTCGGTGTGTCCTTAACCGTATGCATGACAATTTTACAGAATTTATGTAGACACATAGTCAACTAAAACAATTTCTTTCACTCATTATTTAAACATTGTAAGCATATGGTACTAAAACATTTCAGATATAGAATGTGCGCTGAGTCACACGTGCACATATATACTGTCACAGTCATATGGCGACTTTAATTTTAGTTTTGTTACGCACAGTTTTAGTTTTGTTATCATAACACAACTGTTTGCTTCAGGGTGTATATAATTCAACAGAATTTGCATACACTTTTTATTTTGTTTAGGATGGAATTAATTATCATAACTTATATGACTAATGTGAATTTGTTTATATTTTAATATGTTTTATTTCAGGCAAGAACGGGCTTGTTACGGTTACGGGCAAACCATAATTGTATCAGTGAATCGGGCGCTGTGGCAATAGGGAATGCATTAGGTTCGTGTTTAGAAGTGCTTTGTCGCATTTGCATTTGGCGGTCATATACGAGGGTATATCCAAAACATCTAGGACTTTCTTCGTTGCTTAAAATATATTTAAGATATTGATTTGAAATTATTACACTTCTTAGAAGAATAAATATTAAATAAACACAGAAAAAAATAATGTGATGTTAAGCGGGTTTTCTACGTAAATTATTAGTTTTTTCAGCAAAAAATATACGATGAATAACAGCGTTTTTCTACCTTGCCCCGGCGGCCGTGTATGTGCTTACTCAAAAGCAATATAAAATCATTATATATTGATGCATTTAATTGTTCCTTTCAAAATGTGTTGATAATTTTCTACAAGGAATGCTGATAAAATTTCATTACAGTGCACACTGAGGTTTAAGAGATATTCTTAAAAAGTCCACGAATTTTTGGATAACCCTTCGTATGTTTTTTTTTTCTAAGAACATGTAGAACGATTATGTTAAAACGTATTTTTTTCTTACTTCTGTTGTTGTTTATTTATTGAAAAAATAAATAATTGTCTTCGGATGGCAGCGTTAACGGCAACATCATTTGTGTGACATAATAAATGTAATTAATGGACTTTTATTCTTATTTACTTACAAGTATCCAATTACCCGACTTTTTACACAACAATTTATATGAACTTAGGTGAGCTTTATTAGTAGCAAACACTAAGTCTTTTATTACATTGATTTTCAAGAAAAATCTTTTTCAATGAGAAATACCAATACAATCCGTTCTTTCCAAGTATCTTTTATTTGTTATTAATGTCGATTTCAATTTATAAGTAGAGTACCTTTAACACACTGGATTAAAATTTACAATTTCAGCAAATAATGAATCAATAGAGAAACTGGATCTTAGCTGGAACCACATCAGGGGGAAAGGTGCAATATCAATAGCTCATAGTTTAAAGGTAAGATATATATCAATAGCTTATAGTTTATAGGTAAGATATTTATATAAAGCTCATAGTTTATAGGTTAGATATATATCAAAAGTTCGTTGTTTAAAGGTTAGATATATATCAAAGGCTCGTAGTTTAAAGGTAAGATATATATCAACAGCTCATAGTTTATAAGTAAAATATTTATCATAGCTCGTAGTTTAAAAAGGTAAAATACATATCAAAAGCTCATAGTTCAAAGGTAAGATATATATCAATAGCTCGTAGTTGTTTTAAGGTACGATATTTAAAGCTCGTAGATTAAAGGTATTACTATATTATGAAAAACTCGTTTAACAACGATAAGGTTATACAATATACATTGTTTATAAATGTAGGATATGTCAATAGGTCATAGTTTTAACTTACTATATACATGTATATATTGAAAGCTCATAATTTTATGTTACTTTATACATGTATATATCAATAGCTCATAGATAAATGATCGGTTGTATTGATCGCTAAGATGTAGGATATGTATATATTGCTCATAGTCACAAACATTTGGTTGTATTGATGAGGATATGTTGTCCAATAACGTGATTAAAGTAGACAGTACTGTAAAAGCATTTGATTATTTAGCAGCGAATCGATGGCTTTTTAAGGTAGAATCTTTAAACCACATGATCCGTCTAGAAAAACTTAGTATCACGTGGTTGACATAGAAAAATGTTGAACAGTGTGTCAATTTAGTATGTGATATTGAACATTATTATATAATGTTTATTGTATAGCTGAAAAAAGTTCATTTAAAATATGATCAGGATTCTAAACGAAATTACAAACGATGTTTGCATCCATCCGTATAACTCTAATATCAGACGAACACTAGTTCATATTAATAAAATGTATACATATATTTTGTCATCTTAACAAATTGTTTTACAGAACTATTTGTATCGCGTAGTAATCGACAATGCACACATGCAGGCTGCCGGGATATATCAAACTGTATTTATAAATGAATCAATTTAATTTCAGACGAACAATAGTCTACTGTCATTAAATGTAGCTTGGAATGGTTTTGGTAAAGAGGGGGCTAAAGCTTTAGGAGAAGCTCTCCCAGAGAACAAGAAACTGAGTGTTTTAGATATTACTAATAATAGAAT